CGCCACGCTAGCTTCAAGGCACGAAGCCTTTATTAACGACAAGACAAAATGGATAAGCGCCAAATACTTTACCCAGCAACGCCTAGCTGGGACTAACCCAATGTCACTCCAACGCGTGACAGTTCATGAACGAGGTAAGGCTGCGGCAAAATGCTTAGTACGAGGGGGGGGGGGCTGGCGGGGGTGGGTGGCGTTGGTGGTAATCAACAAAGTTGTAAACGGGGAAGCACTGTCCAGAGGTTCAACCCCTTAACCTTATATAATTTATAAGACTATGAGTAAATCCCAAAGCCAGGACGTTTTCTCGAATTTTTCAAGTCCATAAAATGCATCTGTTAGCCCATTTACAGACCGAAATGACAGATTTCGCTACCCTTTCATATACCTGAAAAAGTGAAATCCCTAGCCTTTCATCATACACCTGAAGCTGGAGGAGGTACCCCTTTTGGGAGGAGTTTCCCCGTATAGGCCATTATAGGGAGTACCCCTTTCCCAAGTGCTTAGTTCATAAGAGTATTTCAGTTGAAGCGATGCTTACCAGCAAATCCTATCAAGTTCAACCAATGCTCTGTCTCAAACTTTTGAATATGAATGGTGCTGTAGTTTATTTTGGATGCTCCCTGACCGTGCACAATCCTTTGTTTTTTGTTCACCAATTGTGACTGAATAAATTAATGCGATGTTTCTATTGGTCAGTAAGTTCAAAATGAAGGAATGTTATTGAACGTTGTGCACGATCAGGTCCGAAAAAGTTAACAAATACCTATAACAAAGGAGCCTAACGAGTTTCCCACCCATTCCACTTCAGCAACTATGAACGGATCAAAGAATGCTAAATGCTCTACTGAATTAAACTAATCAAAATCCTTGTTTCTCTCAAGAAGGTGACATTCACGGTCGTATGTAAATGCACAGTCTTTGAAATATGCCAAGTGACAAAACCAAGTCAGCCAAGTCGTTTAGAAGTTTTATTCTGGTTTATTCCAACATTATCTTCTAGAATTATTGTGAAATTATAGTTTGATAAAACCACGGTTGTAGAAGATATAATCAAAAGAAATTTATAAAAAACAGGATGTTAAAAGAATTTAGCAGACGTAAACATGAAGGAAATCACTAGCCGTGTGAAGAAATCTTGGCTACTATATCTTTGCTACTATATATGCCATGAAAGAGAAATTTACCACAGACACATTAAAAGTGATGATTTCAAAAAACCTCAACGAACTTCATGCAACAAACGTAAGCGGAGGTCGGTGTATAAATGAAATGGGCATGCACAGCATTGTGGGAAAAATCCGGTGCATTGTGGTTAAAAATCCAGATGCATCGTGGTTAGAAATGGAGACTTTTTGTCCCTGTGCAGATAGATCTGCTGCTCGCTCGCTACAGGCTCGCAGCAGTTATTGAAGTTAATTGCTGTTATTGTAACAATATAAACTAAGAGAGAATGATCTCTCTTGTATAAACAGAGGCTTTGCTTTTAGCCGTGGCTAAATCTATAAATCATAGCTGAAGCCTGCTAAAAGTAGCCCTTTCTCGCGGAGCCTCCCCGTATAGGCAATCATAGGGAATACCCCCTGAGATTTTTTTCTGTCATATGACTAATAATGCCTACCTGTATTCTAAAAGGTGACCTTGGAGTTCTGCATGGGAGACTAGGTTGGCGCTGCAAGGTGATAACAACTGATGGCAGATGCTGCCGTTTTCCATTCAAATACTGGTTTAAAACATACTGGACGTGTACCAAAAAATTTCACCACAGGCCATGGTGTAGAACCTACGCAGGATTTCCAAGATGGGGAAACTGCAAAGGTGAACTTAAGTCGTCAAATATTACTATTAAGTACTATTGCTTATTAACAGTTCAGCACTCAGTCGCTGATGACACTCAGTCTAAATTAACGGTCGTCGAAGTAAGGTTTTTTTTTTTTCAAATGCTCCAGCCTGCTTAGGACAATTGCAGCTTTTGCCCTCTTAGATCTATTAAGTACACTTGAGCACTGACTATATAGAGGACTCATGATCAAGTCCCGCTAATGTCTACGGCACTTAAGAAGTGTTTAAAAAACTCTACGGAACTAAACTGAATTGAACTAGTCATTGTAGTTGAGAAATTTAATTACTATAAATCATTCCTTATTTTTTCATATCATTCCAAGTTCCTGAAAAGCCTGCAAAGCCTGCGCTAGTAGGTTTGGATTGGAGCAAACTGAAGGAAACGCTAAACCCTAACTTTGACTGGGATGCCGCTGTACAAGCTGTTCTTTCAAGACGTTACACTTTGAAAAAGGTATGAGGTCTCTTCAACAGTCTGTTAATATATAGCTAGTCCACCAAGCGACAGTTAATAGATTGAAATGGTTATGAGGTCCGTCAGACTTTGTTAATGTTTTAGTGGAAATGGTGGTAGGCTCTATTACCAGCCGCTTTTCGGGAAATGTGAACGTGCTCCTCCCACGAACAGTCTCTTCTTGGGAAGGACCGAGAGAGCGGTCCCAAGCGGCGAAAATCTAGCCTAACTTGGAGGTGCACAAAGTTCAAAAGCATCCCTATTACTTTGATCTTAATGACCAATAAAAATCGTCACATTGTTATATTCTGTCACAATTTGTGAACAGAAGGCAAAAGATTAAGTACTATTATAATTGAGTTCTCGAAAACTGAAAAAAAAACTATAAATACGGCTTGCTGAGAGCATCATCTTTGGTTACATTTAATGATTGTGATGCAAAACAATCAATTGGTGGCAATTTGTAAGGAGCGGGGAAGGATGGTAAATGCCAATTGGCGTTTGGCTGCGAATGAGATAAAAACGGGGGATTTATTGGAAAGAAGGCTAAAGCTAGTTTGACTGCTGGTGGTAACGGTGTGCAANGGAAGGACCGAGAGAGCGGTCCCAAGCGGCGAAAATCTAGCCTAACTTGGAGGTGCACAAAGTTCAAAAGCATCCCTATTACTTTGATCTTAATGACCAATAAAAATCGTCACATTGTTATATTCTGTCACAATTTGTGAACAGAAGGCAAAAGATTAAGTACTATTATAATTGAGTTCTCGAAAACTGAAAAAAAAACTATAAATACGGCTTGCTGAGAGCATCATCTTTGGTTACATTTAATGATTGTGATGCAAAACAATCAATTGGTGGCAATTTGTAAGGAGCGGGGAAGGATGGTAAATGCCAATTGGCGTTTGGCTGCGAATGAGATAAAAACGGGGGATTTATTGGAAAGAAGGCTAAAGCTAGTTTGACTGCTGGTGGTAACGGTGTGCAACGGAGATTTTTATTTACTTCATATCTTGCTTACAATAGGATTAACCACTCTTGAAAAGGGAAAACTATTTGATATTTTTATTGTTATTTATTTATTTGTTTATTTATTTATTTTGTTTTTCAGGCCGTAGATCAGGGAAGAATCTATGCTCTTCGTTACGAACTGTGCGACGGGTTGGCGAGATCACCGGATCTTACAGACAAAGATCCTCGACGCGAAATGTGGAACTTTTTTTCTCCTATAGCTCTGTTTGCATCTAAGCCCATTAGCCAGAGAAAAAACGAGCTTCTTCCAGTGGCTATTCAAATGGATTTTACTCCTGGTATGTATAAACCTTTTTTCTATTGACAAGAATCTACACCGAAAAAAATTAAATCCTTTTACGTCAAATACTTTATGTATTAGACAGCGAGTGGTTTCTCAGAGTCACGCGCATGGAGTGAAAAAGAAAGGCAAATAAATGGTAAAAGAGGAGGAGAGATTAGGGCAGAGAGAGGAAAAGGAACGCTTATTTTTGTTCGCAGGGACATCTGCCTTCGTTCCTCAAACCGTTTTTCGACAAGGAGGCTCCGCCCCAAGTTTCTATTCCAACCCCCTGTTTTGGTAGGAAAGTACCCCTTTCGTATATCTTCTATTGAAAAATGGTACCCTTCCACATAACCTGTTTAGAACTTTACGTCCCTTTCAACCTTTTGCAAATACGCTCTTCTTAAGATATGAATGACCTCAAACCAGAACGTTTTCTCGATCTTTTTCGCAGCCATACAGACCAAAGTGACATAATTCCCTACCCTTTTCAATTATGCTTCTACTAGTGAAATTCCTACCCTTTCATATACTCAATGCCCAAAAAAGGTATCCCTCTCGGGCGTAGCCTCCTCGTATAGCCCATTATAGGGAGTAATCCCCCCCCCGCCCCCCCACCCCGGGTTAGTAATCTCACCCAGCTACGCTGAGTCTCATGATATCAGTGACATCAGTGACATTGCACATGTCAAGAGATGTCAACTGGTAAACTGGTGTTTGTAAACTTTGCTTAGATTCAGCAGTTTACACTCCAAATGACGGAGACAATTGGATGATGGCCAAGCTCAACGTTCAAGTAACTGACATAGGATATGCGCAGATTGTGGAGCACCTCGGAAGGGTATGATCAATTTTCAGCAAGTTTCAGTCATACTTGTCTCAGCAAAACATTAATTGTATTTGCCAAGCTAAGTGATAGTAAGTCAGTAAGTTAGCCATCCGTGGACACCAATTTCATTTTTGCCTTATACGCACTCTTGTAGATCGAAGTAAACAAGCATTTCCGAGTACAAAGCTTTTTAATGTACAATTTACGGTGTTTTAGAGAGTGTTAAAAGGGCATATTTTAAGATTCAGCTTCTTTTTTTAGGTCCACTTTATGATCGAGCCTTTCTGCGTTATTCTTAAAAGGACTCTGTCAAAACAACATCCACTGAACCAAATCCTCAGGTTTCACTGCAGAGAGCTGACTGTTCCAAATACTTTTGGAGTTCCCAACCTTGTAAACGAAAACGGACTCACAGATCGACTGTTTGCATATGGAAACAAGGGGTCATTCAGAATGCTTAAAGACACTTACCCTTTATCCACTTGGGAAATAACCGACTACCGAGGCAATATTAAGGTATGTCAGTAGAACTCGCCTGTGAATGAAGCTCTTGCTACAATTTGCTACATATTTGGCATAAAATTATCATCAAGAATTCCCTTTGACTCGAAACTTGATCTCTAATCAGCTCTATACCTTATATCTAGTATTAGTATATACACACTCAATGATCTTGGTAATTCAAGCAATCTGATTGGTTAGCTATCTCGGACTATGACGTTATATTCACCGCGCTAAGCGGTGAATATATATAAAGCAGAAAAAAATCGCTGTCGTGAACTGGGTGTTTGCCAAAGTTTCATAGTAAAGCCTTTTTGAAAATACACGAATATCCAAGTGCTGATGACTTTGAAGGCAAGAAAAGACTTCATGGTGTTTAAACAGCGTGATTTATAGTGAAGTAGTTTACTGTAGCTGACGTTTTGTACGCTCGAAACTATGTTTACCACTACAGAGGAAAACGAGGTCGCTTTGTCACTGTTTTGTGATTTCGGGATTTTCTCGCAAGACCAATTTTGCCGATAAATAGAAGTTAATTTATGGAGAAAAGAGGAAGGCAAATATTTTCGAAAATTGTACGTGCCAGCAAGTTAATAAGCCCAAGAACTTTGGAGATAAACAACCCTCACCTTGATCGTAGCCGCTGTTGACAGCATTTGCAAGAAGCGACAAAGAAAACTTTCTCATTCACGGTGAGTTGACAGAAACAAATAAAGCTTTTTTTTTTCTCAGAATTGGGTAGCAATTTAAATTTTCGGCGTTTTCTTTTAAACCGTTGATGCTAAAGCTTAATAAACTCGATACGAAAAGATTAAAACTATCATTTGCCATGTTTGAAGATACTGTAAAGATCTAACTTTTGCGCGTCCACTGTTTACGGCTTCTTGTTCACGCATGAATTCACCCGTCAATAAAACTAATCGTTTTTTAATGGTTTCCTTTCTGATTCTGTTGAGATCACTTCGTGTGAATACACTAAAACAATTATTCACCTCAGGCTCAGTTAATATTGTTGAATAATCCCCTCGACTGCGTCTCAGGGATTATTCAACAATATTAACTTCGCCTTCGGCGAATAATTGTTAAATGTAACCCTAACCAGTTTATTCTGTTTAAAGATCAACACAAATATTAACACACTGTCTACACGTGAACCTGAAAGAAATGCAGCTGTGGAAAGCAGGTTCTCTATTAGATTTCAGAACGCAAAAACAGAGAAAAGCTGCTTTAAAAACACACCTATAAACAGTAGACGATTCAGACTAAGGACTGTGACCTGCGTACTGTAATTTAACTGAAAGCTTATTGAAAGTGCCCATAATATTTCATTAATTCTTACGCGACAATCCCATTAGCCTGCGAAAAAAAAAACAACCGTTTCTCCTCGTTCCTCGCGGCTTGGGACGTTTCGTCAGGCGAGGCGTCTGCACCCCAGTAACAGAAATCCCCGCTAATGACGTAAAATCTGCCTGGAATCTGGGTAGGAGCTCTGATTGGTGCACGTTGTAGTTATACTGTTTTAACGATTGTTTACCAATGACAGACAAAAGGCCACAAAGGTCAAATGAATCTTTTACAAAACAGTCAATATTCGTGGAATATATTCTTCTGTAGAAGAATATATGGAGTTCGTTCACTGATGAACGCAAACTTACCAAAATTGACCAGGAGAAACATAAAATCGAACAAATTTGCATTTGGAACCCCATGACAACCGGATTATCCTGTGTACAGCCGCCCCCTCCCCTCAAGAAAAAATTGGGGAGATCTCTCTCTCTCCCCGATTTTTTCTGAGGGGAGGGGGGCGTCTGTACACAGGCTACTACAGGATTTATTAAATTAATTTACGTCATCAGTATGGAATTTCTGTCGCTGAGACGCAGACGTTCCTCCTGTATAAAAGCTTGATTAACAACGCAAACTGCATTGCAAAGAAATCTTTACTCATTAAGCAAACGGAGAACCTTATTTACCTATCTTAATTCACTAGAAACGCGGACTCGATGATGAAAGACTTCTTCCCTTCTTTCCTTTTCGAGATGACGGCTATAAGATTTTGGAAGTCATTGAACAGATGGTGAAGGATTACGTTACAATGTAAGCCAGCACACTAATGTAATAGATGGTATAAAATGAAAGGATAATCTTTGTCTCGGCTTAGGAACACCCAATCGAGCCGTTTACCATTCTCCTTCCAGTACAAAAGCAAATATTTAATATGCGTCTTTGTTTCATTCTCTTTATTTCAATCACTGAAGATAGCAGGCTACTGTTTAGCAGTTGTACTTGGCTTGTCGTCAGGGCTAGATGTAATTCATTCAACGCAATATTTTAATGGAGCAATGTCACTGTTTTTCAATCCCGTGTTGAAGTCATTAGTTAGTGCCTCCACCCATCCATAACATGACCTGCAAGGTTATGAGAAGTTATCAAACAAATTTTATCAGAGAGAACTAATCATAGTAGTTTTCTTGGTGACATTTGCTGGCAATGGCGTTAAAACTGACTTGAAAACAAACGTTGGCCCAATTTTTTTTAAGTTTGATCCATATCCATCCTTCCCATCCTTAGTAACAGAAGGCAGAAGACAAAAGACAGTTTCAATGCCTATGAGTCTTAAATAACGATGAAATTAGGGCATTATTTTTGGAATTCATTTAACGCAAAGATACGTTTGAGCTCTTTAAAAAGGTAGCAAATAGCCTGACAAAGACCATGTACTAGCCTCTATTGGGCCATCTTTCAAGTATTGCTTAGATTCAGCAGTTTACACTCCAAATGACGGAGACAATTGGATGATGGCCAAGCTCAACGTTCAAGTAACTGACATAGGATATGCGCAGATTGTGGAGCACCTCGGAAGGGTATGATCAATTTTCAGCAAGTTTCAGTCATACTTGTCTCAGCAAAACATTAATTATATTTGCCAAGCTAAGTGATAGTAAGTCAGTAAGTTAGCCATCCGTGGACACCAATTTCATTTTTGCCTTATACACACTCTTGTAGATCGAAGTAAACAAGCATTTCCGAGTACAAAGCTTTTTAATGTACAATTTACGGTGTTTTAGAGAGTGTTAAAAGGGCATATTTTAAGATTCAGCTTCTTTTTTTAGGTCCACTTTATGATCGAGCCTTTCTGCGTTATTCTTAAAAGGACTCTGTCAAAACAACATCCACTGAACCAAATCCTCAGGTTTCACTGCAGAGAGCTGACTGTTCCAAATACTTTTGGAGTTCCCAACCTTGTAAACGAAAACGGACTCACAGATCGACTGTTTGCATATGGAAACAAGGGGTCATTCAGAATGCTTAAAGACACTTACCCTTTATCCACTTGGGAAATAACCGACTACCGAGGCAATATTAAGGTATGTCAGTAGAACTCGCCTGTGAATGAAGCTCTTGCTACAATTTGCTACATATTTGGCATAAAATTATCATCAAGAATTCCCTTTGACTCGAAACTTGATCTCTAATCAGCTCTATACCTTATATCTAGTATTAGTATATACACACTCAATGATCTTGGTAATTCAAGCAATCTGATTGGTTAGCTATCTCGGACTATGACGTTATATTCACCGCGCTAAGCGGTGAATATATATAAAGCAGAAAAAAATCGCTGTCGTGAACTGGGTGTTTGCCAAAGTTTCATAGTAAAGCCTTTTTGAAAATACACGAATATCCAAGTGCTGATGACTTTGAAGGCAAGAAAAGACTTCATGGTGTTTAAACAGCGTGATTTATAGTGAAGTAGTTTACTGTAGCTGACGTTTTGTACGCTCGAAACTATGTTTACCACTACAGAGGAAAACGAGGTCGCTTTGTCACTGTTTTGTGATTTCGGGATTTTCTCGCAAGACCAATTTTGCCGATAAATAGAAGTTAATTTATGGAGAAAAGAGGAAGGCAAATATTTTCGAAAATTGTACGTGCCAGCAAGTTAATAAGCCCAAGAACTTTGGAGATAAACAACCCTCACCTTGATCGTAGCCGCTGTTGACAGCATTTGCAAGAAGCGACAAAGAAAACTTTCTCATTCACGGTGAGTTGACAGAAACAAATAAAGCTTTTTTTTTTCTCAGAATTGGGTAGCAATTTAAATTTTCGGCGTTTTCTTTTAAACCGTTGATGCTAAAGCTTAATAAACTCGATACGAAAAGATTAAAACTATCATTTGCCATGTTTGAAGATACTGTAAAGATCTAACTTTTGCGCGTCCACTGTTTACGGCTTCTTGTTCACGCATGAATTCACCCGTCAATAAAACTAATCGTTTTTTAATGGTTTCCTTTCTGATTCTGTTGAGATCACTTCGTGTGAATACACTAAAACAATTATTCACCTCAGGCTCAGTTAATATTGTTGAATAATCCCCTCGACTGCGTCTCAGGGATTATTCAACAATATTAACTTCGCCTTCGGCGAATAATTGTTAAATGTAACCCTAACCAGTTTATTCTGTTTAAAGATCAACACAAATATTAACACACTGTCTACACGTGAACCTGAAAGAAATGCAGCTGTGGAAAGCAGGTTCTCTATTAGATTTCAGAACGCAAAAACAGAGAAAAGCTGCTTTAAAAACACACCTATAAACAGTAGACGATTCAGACTAAGGACTGTGACCTGCGTACTGTAATTTAACTGAAAGCTTATTGAAAGTGCCCATAATATTTCATTAATTCTTACGCGACAATCCCATTAGCCTGCGAAAAAAAAAACAACCGTTTCTCCTCGTTCCTCGCGGCTTGGGACGTTTCGTCAGGCGAGGCGTCTGCACCCCAGTAACAGAAATCCCCGCTAATGACGTAAAATCTGCCTGGAATCTGGGTAGGAGCTCTGATTGGTGCACGTTGTAGTTATACTGTTTTAACGATTGTTTACCAATGACAGACAAAAGGCCACAAAGGTCAAATGAATCTTTTACAAAACAGTCAATATTCGTGGAATATATTCTTCTGTAGAAGAATATATGGAGTTCGTTCACTGATGAACGCAAACTTACCAAAATTGACCAGGAGAAACATAAAATCGAACAAATTTGCATTTGGAACCCCATGACAACCGGATTATCCTGTGTACAGCCGCCCCCTCCCCTCAAGAAAAAATTGGGGAGATCTCTCTCTCTCCCCGATTTTTTCTGAGGGGAGGGGGGCGTCTGTACACAGGCTACTACAGGATTTATTAAATTAATTTACGTCATCAGTATGGAATTTCTGTCGCTGAGACGCAGACGTTCCTCCTGTATAAAAGCTTGATTAACAACGCAAACTGCATTGCAAAGAAATCTTTACTCATTAAGCAAACGGAGAACTTTATTTACCTATCTTAATTCACTAGAAACGCGGACTCGATGATGAAAGACTTCTTCCCTTCTTTCCTTTTCGAGATGACGGCTATAAGATTTTGGAAGTCATTGAACAGATGGTGAAGGATTACGTTACAATGTAAGCCAGCACACTAATGTAATAGATGGTATAAAATGAAAGGATAATCTTTGTCTCGGCTTAGGAACACCCAATCGAGCCGTTTACCATTCTCCTTCCAGTACAAAAGCAAATATTTAATATGCGTCTTTGTTTCATTCTCTTTATTTCAATCACTGAAGATAGCAGGCTACTGTTTAGCAGTTGTACTTGGCTTGTCGTCAGGGCTAGATGTAATTCATTCAACGCAATATTTTAATGGAGCAATGTCACTGTTTTTCAATCCCGTGTTGAAGTCATTAGTTAGTGCCTCCACCCATCCATAACATGACCTGCAAGGTTATCAGAAGTTATCAAACAAATTTTATCAGAGAGAACTAATCATAGTAGTTTTCTTGGTGACATTTGCTGGCAATGGCGTTAAAACTGACTTGAAAACAAACGTTGGCCCAATTTTTTTTAAGTTTGATCCATATCCATCCTTCCCATCCTTAGTAACAGAAGGCAGAAGACAAAAGACAGTTTCAATGCCTATGAGTCCTAAATAACGATGAAATTAGGGCATTATTTTTGGAATTCATTTAACGCAAAGATACGTTTGAGCTCTTTAAAAAGGTAGCAAATAGCCTGACAAAGACCATGTACTAGCCTCTATTGGGCCATCTTTCAAGTAACATCACTACATACGCTCAAGCGAATCATAAAAGGCCAGTTAATTGTCAAGGAGCAGAACGTGAAACCCATTTAATTAAACACTCAGCCTTCAAACCGATAAAGTGAACAAAACCAACAACCGTGGTCTTACTCAAATTGATAATATGTAATTTTATATTTATTTAGGTATTATGAGGACGACAAAGACGTAAAGGAAGATACGGAACTTCAAGATTACGTCAATGAACTGTCTCTAGACGGAACAGGGCCGAATGGCGGCATTGGCAGGGTAAAGACTATATAAGATATATCAAGGACAACCAACGACTTTTTTTCCGTAAATAACTGTTCCAAGCAGCAGTTATTGCCCAGAAATCTCTTATAGGTAACCGTTCCATTGATACATTAAGCTCTAAAATTCCGAATATCCTATTTTCAAGGTTTTTTCCTAACTCGTACACCTTCGATTTTTGGAAGTTGAGTTTTTCCCATATTACTACCAAGATATTGGCTTTACAGTTAATAAAAAGGTCCCTGGAAATTTCATTATAGAGACAAAACGTACTCCAGAACTTTCTATACTTCTAATGAAATACGGCTATTCCATGTCCTCGAGATTTCGTCTGGACCCATCGGGGTAGAAACAGTTTCGGATGAGACGGAAAACCTAGCTAAAACTTTACAAACGTTGTCCAAAGTTCCTCTTAGACATCCAAACAGGTAAGTAGTTTTTTGAACAGCTCCCGCCCCAAAAAGGCTTCTAAAGCGAAGAGAAAATCATTTTAGACACCTCTGACGCATTTGAAAAGATCTGGTCTTTGGGTGATATATTCCAAGATAAGATGAATAAAGATTCAAAGCGTATGTTCATACCAATGATAATTATTTGCTCAGACATCGAAGGGAAATATTTCATTCTTCATTCTGTTCGAGGGCTTTGCAAAACAGCAGCACGGAGCATTTGTGACGAAAAATCTCGGACACAGAGAAAAACAGTTCATCAGTCTACCTTACTTATACAAGAATTTTTTCAGGTGTCCCTGTGTATATTTTACCTATTACTGTGTTTCCCAACGTTAAACAAAGCTAGTGAAACATAAGAAACACAACTTTTCAGAATCACAAACATTTATTTCTTTGCTTGTTCTTTCCCTTAAAAATCTAAAATCTTCCTCCTGATCGGAACTTGGTTGTACAGCCAGTTCTGCGAAAGCTAAAAGTGGATGTGGTAGCCTACGCCACCGTTTAAACTAAACTCTGCTTAAAACCGTCTGCGAAACAGATTCGAAATCTTTGCTCTGGTGCCTCACCTGTGTTACTTGAAGACTTGAGTACGTTCCATAATTGGCCTGTTAAAAAGGCATCGTCGAAACGCAAATAAGGTTGAAAGGAAATTCGAAACGCACGTCCGGTAATTCCTTGAATCCGCTGGGGGCCCGGGACAAGGGGATCGGCGCCGCTTCGCAGAAGTTACTAACTGGAATCAGATAACGTCTACGATGCAGGCTAGGGATGTGGGAAATCGAGGGAAAAACAATGTGTTAAGACAAAGAATTTGGACAAGGAAGAGAGAGAATTCAGTCAAAAACATTAGGAAAGATTCAGTCTCGGGCAGACACTGTTGGTGTTTGTCAGAGAATTAGGTGATTTAAGAGTATTTATGTCACTCAACTGAGTCAAGAGACATTGCTACTACTGACAATTATGACATTTCAGACTGCAGTAATTAAGTTATCCACTTGTGTTCTTGTGTTATTATTTAAAACAGATTCAAGGTTTTCCTAAAAGCATCAGTACAAGGAGGGAGCTTTACGAAATTCTAAGCCGCTTCCTCTCCCACGTGACGATATACCACGCTGCAGTTAATTACGGAGTAGTTGACTATGGACAATACATTCCAAACCAACCGACCAAGCTGTACAATGACTCCAGGGTAGAAGTGGGAGAATTTTCAGTTTACCGCCTACCAAACAGGCTGACAACCGCGGTAAGTGGGATTCTTATTATGAAACATTGTTATTTTCGTTATTTTAACATCGAAAGTTTCCTTGACAAAAAGCGTAGTCTATTTGAGCATCAATGTATTTAACACGAAAGTACCATTTGGGGACACTACTTTTTACGTTTCCAACTGGAGATGCGGCCGCCATCTTACATGATCATCCCAGCTATGGGAAGCAGTGTAATCGCTTGCAATGCAAAGGAAGTACCTCAGGTTTTAAGGTCCCGGGAATCGAACCTGCGACCTCCGCTCTGCAGTCAAGCGCTCTGTCGACTGAACTAATCCTGCTGCTGTTATAAAAAGAAACGAAGCGCAAAAAAATAAAAGTGTCAAAGTTATAGTTTGCATACCTCAATAGCTATTAGCGACTTCTCGGTAGTTGAAAAAATCTGAAAATCTCAAAATCTGTGCTATAGAAGTTTTCCTCCGACAACTTGATGTTTTTCATTGATTCGAATTTCATATTCAGTCCGTTCTTTGGAGCATCGCCTTCTACATTTAGTATATTCCAGAACAGACCATGGTGACATTGTTAGTGTAAGTTTAAATTATTGTGTTTGGAAATTTCAGATCCAGTCCAGTGCTTTCAATACGCTTGGAATATTCCGCCTCGACCGCTTGTTTGACTACGGCAACTTCCTTGAGGATACGGACGCTGTCAATCTTGTTAACCATTACTATAGAAAGCTAATGCAAGTTGTCCAGCCTAAATTGCAGAGTCTAAACAGGAAAAGGAAGGATCGCGGAGATCTGACCTATCCTTATTTTATTCCCAAGTGGTTGCCGAACGGAATTCAGACATAATCCACACATTTTTGCAACTTTGACATCATTGAGTGAGTGGGGCGTAAGGGTTTTCGGTGATGGGCTTTTGCTCGATTTTTTGTGCGGTTTTGCGGAAATTTTTATTTCAAGTTGCGGTATTGCGATTTTACAAAACCAAGCTGTTTACGGTATTCAGAAATTTTCGGGTAGTTTCGATGATGTGCGGTTTTCTTTTGTTATTCTGAACGGTGTTTATGGGTATCTCTGTGCGGTTTTGCGGTATTCGTACCCCCAGTCACACAGTTTTACAATTAAATGGCCAATGTAATACTCATAGCGCATCTTGTGAGGAACAGCACGTAAATTATAATCCTCATTTCTTGTAGAAGGGTTCACTCTTAGGGAAATCCTTTCAGAGTGCATGAAATATTGTGTGTTGTTAATGTGTGTTTAACATAAAGAGATCGCATGACTTGTACCACACTTACTAGTGATGTGATATAAACTTGAAATTAAAGAGCAAAAAATTAAAAAGATGATTTCGTTCACTTTAACAAGCCTATCGACTAGGAGTATAATTGTCACTTGTGTTCACGACCTGGGGTCAATTTAATAAAACTTTTACAAGTGTTATTTACAAGTGTAGCTATTGTTTTCAGTATCTAAAACAAAAGGGAAAAGTGAAATTACACTTGTAAAAGGGGTTTTTTTTTTAATTATTAAATTGAGCCCTGAAGGCGGTTAGATCAGTCAGATGGTAAATCTTGGTGGTGGTGGGGTTCTCAGTTTCCCGTTTGGTCAGTTTCAAATTCTTGAAATTGACACTCGGCTTCGAGACTGAGAAGTATAAATCACTAAAAGCGTTGAGATTTGAGGATGAATAGCGCTTTAAAAAGCATTCTACCATTTTGCAGTCATAGAAAATAGATTCTACCCCTTTGGGGAGAATCCAAATTCTGGGGGGAGTTCCCGACTGAAGAAATACCATTCTCATACATTCACCAGCCGTGAGATCCACCAACAACTTTTAAAAAAGATGATTTTCATTTAAATTTACAATTTTTACCATTGCCGTACGGAGGGCTATCGATATCTCAGTATGCGCAATGAACCGAGCACGAACCGTGTTTAATGAACTTAACTACTGTAAGTAACTTGTAACTCACTTGCAAAAAAATTGGACCAGTGACGAGAAGGCCACAGGATCGACTAATGCATTGAAAACTATCCGGCTTTTTTTTTTCCGAATTGCCCTTGTCACTGCAAGAAACACTAAAAAACAACAGAAAGAATACACTTAAGTATTTATTCGTGGCTTTTAATGTTCTTCAAATGCGTTATATTTGATGTAGTTCTTCCCCGAGATATTTCTTCTTCTTTTTTCATCGTTTTCTTCAATGTTGAAATTTGTCTCAATTTCATTATCAGCCTTAAGAAATTTGTGATCAGCCTGAAACAAAAGTGGAACATTAAAACACTTTTAATGCGTTAAAAGATATTAATAAAAAAAGGCAAACTAGAAGCTTTATTAAGTCAGTGGAAAAGAGTGATGGACAGCTGGATGGAGAAGCACTAGAGGCAGCAAAAGACTTGAAATACCCCTTGGGCACATACTTAGGTAATATCAATTCACCTCACAGTCGCCCCATTTAAAAAAATCCAAAAACTTTAAGTGTCAACTTGAGCAAGAGGGAGACATTTTTGTGATTCATGCCCCGAATGAGTGCGATTTAGTGAAAAAGACCACTGCCAAAATGCAAACAAATGTATTCGATTTCAAGAGTAAATGCTTAAAGGTTCTTGGAGGGGTAGTAGTCTTTATGCCAATATAATCAATTTGAGTGTTAAAAGTGCTAACTGAGGACACTCTTTTACGTCTCCTACTAGAGAAGGGACCGCCATTTTACGTGGTCTTAAGCCCGCGACCTCCCACTCTGCAATCAAGCGCTCTACCGACTGAGCAAGCCCTGTCACGATTAACTAACCTTCCGTCCAAGTTGTATCTTCCAACAAGAAACATCACAAATGGAGTGACAATTGAAGCCATGGTGGCCTTGAGTAGAGCTTTTCCTAGATTACTGTGGAAAAAGTTTCGTCTGATTTCATACTCCTCAATCTTTGTCTTGAATGATTGCTCTTCGCACCACGATTCCTCTTAAATATTAAAAATAAATTCCAATCAATGAATTAATTGAGGAAGTGAATATATTAATGAACAAATTAGTTCAGCTATAATCGACTCGGCTTAATAATTATTTAATAACTAGTTGTTACGAAATCGCATCAAGGCTTAGACAATTTGCAGGAGTCGTCTATTTGGTAGAGCAAATGAAGCACTATACAAGCATGCGCAACATTAAGTAAACAGATAGCTGGTGGCTAATAGCCAACAAAAAAGCCAAATTTCAGGCTTATTAGAATAGTACCTTGCCCTTTCAACTGTGATTGCAAGTCAAAGTACCGCATTTTTGGTCAGCATCTACACACTAATGTAAAGGCATACCTATTGGACAGCCATTAACTGATATTCTTTGCAAGCATGTGATGTTTCCCTCTACATTGCAGACGAACTGCACATACCGAGCTGCAACAGGTGCGGAAAAGCTGCACACAAACACCCATTCATCGTCCTTGTAGTAAAATGACTGAAAAAAAAACTATCTATGTTAGTTCAAACGCCCTGGTTAATTATTTAGGAACTGTTATAATATATTTTAGCAAAAAGACAACCCCGACGAGATTTCTCGTTTTCTCCAGTCTCCCTGAGTTGCGACTCCTAAAGACCGTTGGTGCAACGACGGTCGCTGTAAGATTTGAAAATCTCAGCGACTGAAAACTCTATTTGAAAATAAAGATACTCTAAAAAAACCGACGCAGAGAAAATTGCAGGCCATTTGTGTATATAACTTGCGATATACTCTTACGAAATTAAACAGAGAAGACAGAAACATAAAGATAGAAATCTAACACATTTAATAGCTCGACAGGTCTGCATTGTATGGGGTAAATTTTTTGAAATGCTGTTTAGAGTTGCCTTTTTTGCTTGTCAGTAATTTAAAAAGTAACATAGATAGAAACTGGTTTATTTGATTGGTTATCAGTCTGTTTGCGGATAACGTTTCACCACCGCCCTATTAGGAATCCAGGAAATTCTTGCTTGTGGAATCCGGAAGCTTACTAGGTTTTGGAATCCGTGATTCAGTTTACGGGATCTGGAAACCCGCTAACGATTGAAATCCAAGTTCCACCGACACGGAATTCTGAATCCACAGAGTTGAATCCTGATTCTAAGACTGTCTTGGATTACCTTACATGAAGTGGTAACCTGAACTCTTCCATCTTGAAAACTACATGTACGTACCTGAATTTTAAGACCTTGTGGAAAGCTCCTCATCAGCGAGGGATTGTTTCCACTTAGTAACAAAGCGTGTTGTTTTGCGCTTTTGCCAAGAAACTGATAACTTGAGATTAAACTGCAAGATGGCAGGTCTAATACTGGATGTTCACTGTAAATCGGAGTGACTTGATCGTCATCGCATTTCATACCCATTTCTCTAAATAGAAACCAATCAACTGTACACCAGTGTTTGTCTGGAAAAAAAACACAGGAGTTATTTCATCACCAGACTTCCATGCATAGTAGAGAGAAATGACCTATTTCTACAAGGTATGACTTTCAGCAATTCCATCACTTGATTTTAACAAAGCGTTGTTTATCATAAACGTTACAGGAAGAGCCAGTGTGATTCTAATAAAAAGGTTTAAAATGGAAAAGGGGATCCTTTCGCTCTGTCAACACTGAGACAATTGATTCCTCATGTGCTTTCCGCTTCCAGTAAGTAAGTATTTACTAAGTAAGTAAGAAACGTTTATTAATGTGGTCAAATTAAATACGCTTAGCTCATTATAGCATAAAGAAATATCCTGACAAGACAACTTATCACGAGCGAAGTTTATTCAGCGTCCTAACGGTCTTAACTACAAAGTTACACTGCACAATGGATAATAGTTTTTAGCGCGATCTATAGCTAATTGAATATATGAACAAAGAATGGTCCGTATTGGGAATAACGATCTGAACAATCGTCAGGGGCACCCAACGACAATTTTCGGGAAAATATCTGTTCGGAAGACGATTTGAGATCTAGAATTTTCGCAACATTTGTTGCAAAATTTCTTGCTTGCCTGCCTCTCCTAGGATTTTCGAAAATCTAAAAAATGGTATAATTGCCTATTTTTAACGGATTTTTACCCTAAAAAGGTCATCTAGAATTTTCGGGAGCCTTTTTTTCGGCTCAAATTTTCGAAAAGGTAAGTTTTGATCCCTATAATTTTCGGATGACTTGATTTTCAGCTAGGAAATCCGAACAGATGAAAAATTTTTAGGGGATAAAAATATGCCTATATCTACCGTTAAAATACTAAAATACGTTTAACAATTCTATGTTTAAGTGGTTTTGAACTATATTCTCGTTGGGTGCTCCTGAATCGTCGTCTAATTGAATATGCAACAGCGCATTGCAACAACGATAGTGCTGTATGTATCGGTGAATGCCAAAATTTGCCTTAGCTTTCCTATTCTCGAAGTAGCTTTAGATGTAAGCATCTTAGCGTCCCTTGTATTCACTTACCTAATCTACATCCTGTTATCTGCAGTTTATTTAACAACAGAGGACCGCCAGCTTCATCAGTTGGAACGAATTGAACGTATCTAGCTGGAGCTGGTTCATCTAAACTGTTGAAGAATAGCCATTCGCCTTCCGAATACTCTGACTTGAAACAAAATGTTTATGAGTTTAAAAACCCGTATCAATTTTCTTACACATTAAACACGAAAAACCTCGTTCGGGGTATATTTTAAATGGTTTCTACACAATGTACTTTTAAGCATGTCAGAGAAGCCTTTACACCTAATGATAGTGATGACGAACTTGCATTGCTTGATACGCTGTAAAGTCCTACATAACCTATGTTTTTAAACGGGTACCACTTCAAAACTGAAATTTTTGACTCTAACTTTAATTTGGTGCCCGCTTTGAGGAATTTTGTCTTTTGCCTATAAATTTTGTTACACCTGAAAGAATCATTTCCTCAAGACTCAGGTCTGGACCCAGGCCTGTTGTGTAAGGGGTAAGGGAGCAAAAAAGCATTTCTATATGCATAATCTTTTTTTGTACTTACTTCCACTTGCATATTTCCATCATATTCCGTCAAGAGCTTGGAATTCAACCCGCTTATCATCAATTTGTGGCTTCTTGATACATTTGACGCAAACTGATAGCTGGTAATAAGACTGCAGGAAGCCAGCTTTCTAACTTCTTCCTTATTAAGAAGAGAACTTTGGCGATCACCACACAGAATGTCATCGGACGTAAAACTCTTTGGTTTACATCGAGACTTTACTGGAAAAAGAAGCAAACCAATAAATTCCATGGTCGTTACGAACACCTTTCATATAATTCTAGCCATACATGCTGGCACACTCAGCGCATTTACTTAAAAGATCGTCGTAGTGCTTTAGAATTTTCTTCTTTTTATACTTTCTGGGACGGGGCTTACTTGAGGGTGTGGAGAAAGCTTCAAACATGAAATTATTTATTTGCTTAAAACAAAGTACCAAGTGATCACCATTTCTCACGTTATCACAAAATTGCTGAGTAAAGCATATTCATTGCGTTTTTCCATACATGTCTTTCGGTTTGGCCTGAGGCCTGACGCAACAGCATTACGTGATGAGACTGAACAAAAAAGGTAGAAAATATCAACCAATCCAGCAACGGCCCATTTTAAAAGGCCGTTAGCGAATTAATTGATGTTTTCGACTCTTAATTTTCCTTTCAAAGGACACATTTTAAGTAGAAAATGTAGAAGACTAAAATTGGAAGCCTTTGTGGTTTCCTTATGTGGCGTAAATGAAAAGAAGTTTGTTTGAAAACAAAAGATAGCGACAGAGGCGCAAAAATATTCTGACCCTACCCAACGCACTTGCGTACGCAAGTGCACATATCGAGGTCTTTTTAAGTACAAGCCATTGCCGTTTTATTCATCTAAACTAGTTATAGGAATTTTTTTCAATAAATGTTGTTTTATTTCATTGTTAAAAGGAACTGACTGAAAAAAATAACATGTTGCAAAACATTTATTTACCTCTATCAATTTAGTAACCCTTCGTAACTTAACCTCGCTTTGCGTTCATACCTAACGTGCAACCACTCAAAGTCAGACCATACAAACACTGTGAGTCTTCGCTTTGATCAGCGGAAAACTGCACAAAACGAGCAGGAACTGGTTCAGAGAAGTAGTAATGATACACCCAGGCTTCTTCGTTATTGCTCACAATATAATCTGTCTGAAAACAAAAAATATCAAGCAGATTTTTGTAATAAACGTGTTAGATTATGAATCAAGAAGAACTTGATCTGTTCACGCGTACTGCTTAAAGTATTTGACTCACTGGACGCATACAAAACACCTTCATGGTTGAGTCGGTTGTTTAACGCATGCGCAAAAGTACTAAAGAGGGGATTTCGCTATTTAACCTTTGCCTAGTTGCTATGAACAGCCAGGAGCTGCCACTGCATGGTCGATCTTCAGATGTGGTCAACTTTCCTTTCAAAGTTCTTGCAATTTTGCTTTAATGACAATGTCCCAGATCACTCACGCAAATGATTCCGACCAATCCGCAGTATCAGTTTTCCAACATGAACGAGAATTTGTAAGTCTACGGCTCTGAAGGAGTCTCTTATTTATGTCAAGTCTTTTGAACGCTTTTGCTATGTTATGGTTATTCTGCCTCGCATAGATTTATCTGGTGGATATTGTTATCCACCTTTTGAACAAAAGGGGCCAGGAATTTCTTGTCTACGACGGTTGCATACGGGTAAAGGAATGACGAAACAAAATCGTTGTCACTTTAAGCTGAGAACTGCGGCTAATCAAATCTTTTACCTTTAAATTTATGTCGCCTTTGTACTCCTTCATGTTTTTAGTTTCGTTGGCACTTATAAGGAGCTTGAAGAGTCTATGTGTCCTGGTAGTGAAACTGTAACCAGTGATTACACTGCAAGGTGATAACTCTTCCAATGCATGACTGGAAATTGATGTACCGTCTTCCTCACTGCTGTAACATGGGACTTCTAGGGTTTAAAGAATATATTTCTTTCTTAACAAGCGGATTTTTTTTATTGTTTGTTTCTTTGTTTTTTTAATACAACAAAAAGTAAAGGCGCTTTGCGAAAGTAAGAACTGTCTGGCTAGACCGGTAGCTGATTTAAGAATATACTAATCTGACTGTATAGTAGTGATTAAATCATGGAATACCCGAATTGCTAGATTGGTCTGCTCATGCAGTCTTAGATTAACGTCCCTCACGTTATCTCATCCTCTTGAACATTATCACGAATGGAAACAATAAGCGACAACACAATACTTTATATGAAAGGGGGGGCCTTGGGAACTGGATTACTTTTTCTGAGATATACCGCTTATGAAAAATGAGAAGGACGGCGTTCGAGGAGCGTCTAGACTTCAAAACGCTTTTGGGTTAGGGAAGAAGGAGGGGAGGGTATGCCTCGTCTCTGCAAAAAATCTGGCAACTTCTAGTGCGACGGTTGGCAACAACAATTTGTATGTTTGTTTCCAAATGATAAGATAAATCACAGACTAGCATATTCCCCTTTGCGAGCTCCGTGATCCACACCACCACCCACAGGGGGCTGTAGTTACATACCTATCGTCCAGTTGGTTGCATAGTTTCTCTTATCATGCTTGACTAACTTCAGTTGTTGAACAGCACACTTTCCTGCAACAAAAATAAACAAAGAATTGTTAAAGCAGCATATTTGTCACGTACCTAATTATTTGCAGAGAGATTCCATCCAGCAAATGCTGCTTACCTAAAAACTAGGAAAACATTTTCTTTTTAAGAACAAACGTCCCTTTTTTTCCCTTTTATTAATCAAAGGTTGAACATACAGTTTATTTGACCAAGCTCAACCAGTCGATGTAAGAGGGTTTTAGTTTCTAAAGAATCTGTGGTGACACGTCTGCTGGGAAGTGAAATCAAAAATTTGGTTTTATCAACTAAAAGGCTGTTTACATGTAGAGAGGAAGATCGTATCACCAGAGGAAGATCCTAGAGGGAGGATCATCCTGTTTTCAGTATTCAGATTACATACCAAGGGTTGTACTTGTCCCTAGCGCTATGATTGTCCTTGGCTAGTACGAAGGTCTTCCTAGCTGAGAGAAAATCCTTGTACTAGGAAGATCCTAGCACCATGTAAACTGTTTTCGCTAGGAAGATCCTAGCACTAGGGACAAATCCGACTAAAATGTCGATGGGTCGTTCAGTGGATAATCACAGCAATCAAGGCCGACTATTTCTTTTTTTCCGTTACCAAGGGGTGTTAATTGTGATAATTCTGCTGAAATTAAAGGCAGTTATTAACGCAGTAAAAAGACTAGAAGGGCCCAAACTGAATTTTTAAGCCCCATTCACACCGGAGCTTAAAGATGTTTAAAAGTTGTTTAGTTAAACATGGTTTGAATTTTCTTTCCTTCATAAAAGCTGTTTACTAATTTAAATTGATTGCAAATTTAGTGCAAATTACAAAACATGTTGAATTTCTTATGAATCCTGTGTGAAACCTTGTGTTCTTGTTTTCCATGTCTGTTTCTCATTTTTTCAAAACCTTGTTTTAAAATTAAACATGTTTAGTTGGTGTGAATGGGGCATTAAATTCCTTCTCTACTTGGAAACCACAAGGACAGAAAATTCTGCATGTAAACCCCATTAAAAAGTCTTCCGTCTTCTAGCATCTTCCTGGTGCTAGAATTTTCCTCCCTTTATGCAAACAGCTCCTGAGTTAATAAAGTAAATTGGCCTCTGCAAAGCTCAGTTGCGAACGCTAGCCCTACTTTTGAGAAAAACACCAATTCGAGACACATTTAAGCGGAGATTCTTTCATGGTATTCAAGGTTCCCATTTCGTAACTGGATAGATAAACTGTGTATTTTTTTTGTACGTCCTCATTGCTTCTTCCATACCTTGGCCATGGGACCAGTCTGCATTTATACATCCAGTTCATCCATCCACGTTATTTACTGACATCCTGGTCTGCAAGATATCACTGGCAGCAAGGGTTGTCGCTGCCGTCTTGCAGCTCCTAAATATCGCATTACTTATCTTTTGGAAGAATTAATAGGAACAGATCAGGAAAGCGTCCACATTGTGGACAATTTGAAAAAAGATTGTTTTTTTCCACATGAGTTTAGAACGAGCAGGAATAATTTGTAACCCAGTTCATCAGCGCGCTCTCTGGTATAAGGTCAAATGATAAGCTAATGATACATGCACAATCATCTTTTTTTTACATTAGCTTGATGATCCTGCATTATATTTCTTCCAAATTTTTAGTACTTATGTATTTTTTTATCTGACTTACCCGTAGTTCGAACACCAGGCTGCTCGCCATCATTGTTTTCCTCGTCAACAGATGATGCATTAGAGTTGGGTGCTTGATCGATTTCCTTTTCTGTTCAAAATTTAACAAATATATAATTAAAAAAATCCACATAAACGCTGCAAAAAATGTTTAAAACGTGCATAACATGAGATTTGCGACAGCATACTTGGAAAATTTATACCCTAATGAGTGTCTTCGTCATCCGGCAATTTAACGTTTTTTCCAAGGCTTGTAGGTGAGGTGCATACAACAACAGACGACGCATGTATGCACCCAAGAGTACAGCTGTTTACAGATCGGGAAATATCAGCTACAGAGTATACTATGATTTACAAAAAGCTCTTCTTAGTAAAAAATGCCATGAAATGATTACCTTTGTCGTGCTTGATATTAAATGTTATTGCCTCGCGACAGCCAGTTTTTTCCGTTTCGACAACGTAGATTCCATAGTGCCTCCAGTCCAATGAGCTAATGACAAGAGTTTCTGAAATCTTGTTATCTTTAAGGCCTCGTTCGAATGCCATTTCAGGGTCTTCAGGAACTTCTGGTATTATTTGTGCCTCGTACGTCCACGTTGTTCTTAAACCACGTTCTGTTTCTACAGACAGAGAGATTTCATCACCAGGCAAAGCGAATATCTGAGACGGTGACTTTGGGATGAGATGAGGTTGAGCTATGAATCGAGGTCCAAAATAAATTAGAAACACTTTTTTCTACCTGTACTAATGCAAGCGTTGTAATACAGCGGATAAATATGTTTTTTCCTTAAATGCGCTGCATAACAACAAGTATTTAACTGTTTTGTATTTATGGCCTTATAAAAGGTAGCCATAATTCTTACAAGCCAGACATGAAGGAAATTATAGATCAGATTGGTATTCAGATTACTCCTCCGCAATTTTTGCTTTACGTTTGAACCCAAAAAGTGAAGAAATATTCGAGAAAAGTAGTTTTTCATAGTAATTTCAAACACTTTAAAGTCCACAAAAAACTATACTTCGATTTGTATTTTCAGATTAAGTCCTGTCGGTGTTTGACATGTGGTCAAAACACCATGTATCGTTTTCCAAAAATCACTTGAAGTTTTTTGTATCATCGCGAAAACCAATGCAAGGTTTTGTAAAAATATGGTGATCCCAGAAGATGAGGCTAGCTGTATATCCAGTAAAACTAGTTCCTCAAAAAAACTTACTTTTTACAATGAATAAACCTGCAGTTGCTGATTTTCCCGACATGGAGTCTCCTTCCACGTATACCCAAGTTTCTCTCTCCAATGCCTTAATAGTCAATTTTTTAAAATCTTTGGAGAGTTCAAACAATGGGTGCTCAGGTGATATATCCTGATTAACACTGGTTCTTGAATATCCGAACTTCCACTTGATACTGTTATCGTCGACATTAAAACCTCCAGAAACGAGAATGCTCAAGCTTCCACTCTGTCCCTTGCAAAGTTCCACGATGTTTGGCCTAAACGATAAACTCATTGGGTCGCGTATGTCAAGTCTGAAGTTGGCTTTGTAAATAATTTGCTGAATTCTGGGATTTCCTTCTGCGAATGTATATTGAATAAAATATTTTCCATTCATTTTTTTGCGGACTACACCGAAATGTAGGGTACTAAGCTTGTCTGGTGGCCTTCGGCCTTTCACAACAAAATTTTTAGCAAATTTAGCCAAGCGCGGATCTTCAGAACCAATACTGAAGCCGTTCGTAAAGTGGATTCCAAAAGTGCCAAAAAAAATGTACAGTCTCTGACCGTCAAACAGTGTTATTTCAACGGCCTCCGAGTTAGATTCTTTGAGGTATGGCATTCCAGTAGTGTCGAAAAACAGAAACCAAACTTGTCTGACCGTACACTGAGGTATCCTACATTCAACAAGCTCCAGTCTACTATCACTCATGGACTTTATGTGAGGCTCATCTGCCTTATTTTTTGAGACAAAACAGTGCGGTGTCGGCTTGCCCTTTCTCGGACGACAAAGATTTGATTCGAATCCTTTTCCGGTCATACACAGACGTGGTCGTCCATTATCGTCCTCTTTAAGAGTGGTGAGGGTTCGTCCGTTGTATTTTGGGAACTTCTGCCTCCACTTTGACACAGGATCAACGTAGTCATAAATATCTAAGATCTCATTTCCGTTTCCATACATACAATCGGAGCATTCTTGTACGCGACAGAATTGTTTCTTATTGGTCGAAGTGGCAATACACCAAGGGCTGTGTTCCTTGGTTGGATTCCTACAGTACCGTTGCTCTTTTTTCAAGTCTACGTTACGATAATCAACAGAGATGAAGTTCATATTCCAATAATGACATACCACAGGCGGGTTACTTTGAGCCAGGTACGTATTACCTCTGTACTCCCGACCATCGCCAGAGTAACAATCCGTGTTAAACACCCACTTAAAATGATCGCATGTGTCATCAAAACCCCTCGGCTGGTTAAAGGTGCAAAACTTCGGATCTGTTGGGTATCCTAGTGGAGAGTGCAACCTTGTGACCACCCAAATAATTTGAAATTGTGGTCTCCCACTTAACATCGCCTCGCAGGAGACAACTAACATCTCAGCTGCCATGGGGAAGCCGCCTTTGCCAATCTTTAGCGTAGATTGGTGCTCCTTGATTTCGCCATCCAAAATGAGGCTGGCCGATTCAGTATACGGTCCACCACTTACTTTGTTTATAAGCTCCCACCTAAACTGCGTGAAGCCGGGGATAAAACAGTCCAAAGTTCCATTGTCCACAGTACCTATGAACTCAACATGCCTTATTGCTACTGTTACGTCTGAGTAATATCCATTGATAACTTCTATCTCTTTGTCAAATAAAAGTGGACGAACTACAGATAGTGAAAGATATAGTGGCAAGAAGATAGCGCTTAGCTTCATCCTGGTTTATCTGTCAAGAAAAAGCTTCGTGTGCCAAGTAAAAAAAATAAATCTAAACACTCTGGGTCAAAACAAATGATAAAGAAGAAAAGTTGAAGGTGCGCGCGCCAAATAATAATGATTGTTACTGTGACGTGAGACAGCGCGAGGAGATAAAGCACATCCTTGAATAGAACACTTACACCGCTCGGGATGAAACTTGAGACTCCTTATGATGATCTTTGATTAAGCGCGCCTATCTTTGACGCAAAACAACAAGTGTTTCCAGGATGTCTACAAGAAATATAAGGCCAGAATTGACCAGAAATAACAAAAGACTACTTCAATGTAAGTAATTCAACTTTATTAGATATAAATTTAACGTTTATAAAGTCAAAACCATGTTTCCTACAGACCATGATCTAAAGAAGCCATCGCCCAGAGATGTACTGTGCCCAGTTCTTCAGCGGGTTTACAAATAACGAACTACAGTAGGCCACGTATTTTTCATCAAGACTAATTTATAAGAAGTATAAATTTAAAGTAAATGGACAAAGACTTTTCTTGACGATTAGCTATGGATAGGATAGCAACCTATCTATCTAGCCTCCCTATGCCTCAAATAGACAACTTATGGATAAAAAAAAATTGCAGAGGTGTAGGGTGCGCTTACTTTTTCTTTGGACTGTATTTTAACTGGTAGAGGCCACCAAATTATTTAATCAACCTAGTTGTAAAAAGGCTGAGTAGTGCCAAGGACGAGGCACAAGAATTATTTCAAAAAGTTACAAATAAAAAAATGAATTTCGAAAGCTAACAAGCTAAGCTAACAGATTTTCAAAACATAATTGTTCACAAATGCAATTCCGTTGTGTTCAGAGTTTATACCTTCTTGTAACGTTTAGAGTGGTAACATTTGTTTCACTCAATTTGGCTGCAGTTCCCTCTGTTTGAATTTTGATAACTGCTAATTTACAATTAAAAGGAAAAAACGTCTCCGGCTAAACCCTCAGTCGTCTCAGTAGCCTTATGCTCGCGCCTTTTTTCACACGGAAAATAACAAGTAGATTGACAATAGTTTAAATTCTTCTAAAGTTTTATTTGTGATTTAGTATTGTACAAGGTATGCTGCCATTTTAAACTTCTTTAAAGTATCGAACATGTTAACTAGTTCTTCGTTCAATTTGTATTAGTCAATTAAATGTATCCAAGGGTGCAACGTACAATTTATTTTGCAAGAGATGCATGAATTCAAATCAACTCCGTGGCGAGTATGGTAGAAAGACGAGTATGGTACTAAGTTTATAAACGGAACTTAAACTGGTAGTGATCAAACGAACTACCGTATTTATTCGAATAAGTGCCCAACCTCGAATTAGCGCCCACCTCGAATAAGCGCCCATCCTAAAGGCAGAAAAAGTTAATAAGCGCCCAGCTTCGAATAAGCGCCCACCCCCTCCTCCTCCCAATCAAACCCAAATAAGCGCTCGCCCCCACCCCACCCTTGAGTGAATAAATTCTACTAAGAGACTTCCCCGAGGACAGAGTTTTCTTGCAAAATAAACATACTTCACTTGCTGAAAATGGTGAAAATTTAATAAGCGCCCAGCCTCGAATAAGCGCCCACCTCGAATAAGCGCCCGCTCTCAAGGTCCAAAAATTTAATAAGCCCCCAGGGCGGTTAATCGAATAAATACGGTATATAGCGTCAGGTGTACAAGTTTGTTCTCTACTACTACATAACTACCAATCTCTCCTTTATTTTTTTTCTTTTTGACCTACATTCTAATGGCGCATTCTCGTCGCGTACCGTTAACTTACCGGGCTTTTCTGGGTTTATAATAGTTTTGCAACAAGTGTTTAAAGCAAAATAGATAACCGGAGAAGCCATCAGTTACAAAGAGTTTAAAAAGAATGTTAGGCACGCTGTTTCGAATTTTAGTGGAAGAAGAGAAGCAGATGACGAGAAACTCCTGCGAACAACCTGCCCATGTTAAATGCGTGGTACTTTTTAAGTGACGTAAGGAGTCGCACAAGGCGAATGATTACCGTTTTCTCACATTTTTTTCGCTGTCAGTCAAACCAAAAACGTAATATATGAAACAAAATATATAATGCGACAACACTCTGTTAAATAAATACAAATCGATCTACTTTCTCGAAAGGGGGATAACGTTATCCACTAAATAAATCTTAATCCTATGGATAGCGGATTTGGCTTTCCTGATACTTATCCGCTGGATAGTGATTTATCCGGTGGATAGGGCTATCTAACTTTTGAGCAACCGGTGCCTAGTCGACTCAATAACTTGACATAGTGATAAGGGGACTTGGTGATGCATATTTGAAAGAGACATGGTTATATATTTAAAGATTTGAACTTGCTAAGTGTACTGAACGTTATGTGTATAAGCCAATCTAGCCTCCAAGCAAACGTCTTTTGAGATGACGTGTACACGCAGGCGAAAGCTTATCGCACACGTATTTTGTTTTATAAGATAGAGTTGAAAATATTACGCATTAATATTAGAACTTACTTAGTTACTTTAAGCCTCACTGTCGAATTGTATCGATGAACTGTCGCTACCAGCTTCTTCGACAAAAATAGAGGTACAATTATCTACAATCCCCACATGCATGAGATGGTGAACAGGGACACCAGCAACCTCAATACTTGACATATTACTTGGGAGTGGTGTTGACGTTTTAATGGAAAAATCATTTCTCTCTTCTTGAAAATTGTCATTCATGGTCCCACCAAGTTCCGAGCCGAAGGTTTCGATGCTTCCTATACTTTGACTTTCTGTGACTGAAGGTGAGAGCCTGGCAGCTCTAGAAGATGCTGTGTAGTTGTAGTTGTCTGTACTTAAGGAGGTAATGGGCTGTACTTGCTCTTCCTGTTCCACTTCACTGTGTCCTTCTGCTTCTTGGCGGTGCTCTTCCTCCTGCTCTTCCTTGTTTTCACAATCTTCTTCAATTTCATCCATCAGTTCTTCTACTTCCTCTTCTTTATCGCTTCCAGGTTCTTCGCATTTACTTTCACTGGCATACTCATTCACCGTGATGAGCTTCGCTTTCATTACATCCTCATCAGAATCTTGATCTTCCGTCTCCGAATCCTCAGACTCTTCGTTATCTGACATTCCGGAAGAGCTTGCACCGATCTGTGATGACTGCCGTCGCAACCTGGACGCAACAAGCATTCTGCATAACTCGTTCTCGGAATAGTTTTCCACAATTTTGTTCATTGCCTCCACACCATCGCACAAGTCGCTTTCCATGATATCATCATCTGCGTTTAACACCATTGACATTACCATGCTCTTCTTCGCTGACCACGAGTCCCGTTCAAACCATTTTATCTGTCGCACATCTTCTGCACACAAGTTTCGCATAAAGAACATCGTTGTGTCCGCCTTTTCTTCTATGCTTTGCACTTTCTTTTCCAATTCGCTCTTTGGCCAGCTGTACTCAGGTCGAATGGGCGGCTCAACAAACAATCCCATGAAGGCCTTAATACGGTTACCCATAAACTGTAAGATTTCATAGTCGTTGGATTGTTTCACAGCATCTGCACGAACATCAGTGAAACATTCGCAGAGAATTCCAATGAAAACGTTTATGATTATAAACTGAAAAGTTATCATAAAGGTAAAAAAGACAGCTGGCCCAATGAAGCGGTTGACGTATACTAAATCATAAAACTCAAAGTTTCCAAGTACCATTGACATCATGGAGACCATGCATCGTATTATCGTACGGTAATCTTCAAATACAGGCCCAAACACCAGAAATACCAGGAAGCAGTAGGCCAAGAAAATGACGAGGAACATGACCATGAAACTCCCCAGCTTGGTTGCGCTTGCTTTTATTGTAGCGGATAAGACTGAGATTTTCCTGTTAAACCTTAACAGTCGCAAAAATTTTAGATTTAGTAGTAAAACGACCAGCGCAATTGCGATGTTCACACCTTCATTCAATAGTACAACGTATTGAAAACTGACGAATTTTGAACGATTTTCGCGTACCTCGTTGATGGCCGAGTCGAGGAACACTAAGCGCATAAAATATAGAACCACAGATGTTAGACAAAGGCCTGTCAGAGAAATGTCAACAATGTTCCATACGTTTTTCCAAAACGCTTTTCTTTCCTTCGACAGTTTCTTCCCGTCTCGTAAAACCCATCGGAAAAACAGAAAAGCAAAAATTACCTCACATGCCATCAAAGCGGCTGAAAAGTTTCCAATGTACCTGTAAACTCTAATGGCTTGGATATTAACAAAGGTCTCCCCACCGCCAGTAGGTAACTCTTCGTACAATAACGTTACCACGCAAAGGAGATTGACGTAGACATTATATATACTTAATTCGGTGAAAAGGGCTCTCGTGTATCTATCAACCCAGCCATTTTCTTTTAGGTTTATCAGCTGCTCCTGTGCATTGACGTTATCTGGACCAAGTTCGACAATAAAACCTCCTCCTCGATAGGAAGCAATTTTCCCCATATAAGGACAACTGCTGGCTTCCATCACGCTTTGATAATGCCATGGTGATGTGAAACGCTCATTGTCTGCAATTTCGTCAGTCTGGTTAACGATTGACAAATGAGACCACCCTTCAATGAAGTCGCTTCTTTCCTCTTCTGCCCAGGAATAAAAGTCATTGCATTCTTTTATGTACATGGAAAAAGCCTCTGGAACGTGGCACGTATCTGAGAAAGAAATAAAATTGTTTTTTTGTTTTTTTTCATATTTTGTAAGCAAACATTAGTATGAATCTGTAAGGGCTTGTTTACAGGATATCGAAATGAACTGTCATTGGGAACGATTTCACTCCATGTTCCCGTTCAAGCCATTCCGGAATGAGTTCATCCCGGTTTCCATTCAGAATAAAATCCTCATTTTGGTACGAAAATTCACTCTGCTATCGTAAAGCCCTGTTAGGGCCTTTAGGGATGAGGGATAACTGGACAAATAATTTAAGGGATAAGGGATAATTGACAAAATAGTTTTTTTTTGTAT